CTGATGATAAACCAGGAAACTTTTTATCTGGCCTTATAACAAAATTACCAAAAAATAGTTTCTTCGTGGGGATATTGCTGCTACCATAAAGGGGTTAAATGTATGCACAGTGATCATAAACATGTTTTTCTTTTAAATTTGGAATTACTAAAAGTTGAACCCAAAACATTACTTTTGCATCATAATACTCATCCAGGCTTTGAGGTTTATCAACATTCACAACTGAATCCTTCACTTTTTTTGGGAACTTGCTTGTTTTTATATAGGAAAAGTAGACAATACAAACTGAATTACATTGACGTGTTTTAATTTCACAAGAAAATACATCAGTATTCCTCTATGTTAGAAGGTTTTGTCTTAACTGGATAAAGGTTTTTTTACAGATGACCGCTGGATTTTTTGGCTTACACAGTTAATATAGTAATATACATATCTGTTTAAGAAACTACGTTATATAGAATTTGTAGTGTTATCATGTATTTAGGTCATCACAGTGCTTTTTCTATGAAGAAAATATATTAGACTTGTTGACTAAGGTTGAAGGTTACTCTTGTGGTGTTAGTTTTGTATCATCATTAAAAGTATTATGTAAACATTATTGCAGCTCTTGATAGTTCGTTGACTTAAGGTAAAACACACTTTTAATTCAACATTTACCTTGGATATCTAGATGGATTGTGGCTATATATATATATATATATATATTTTTTTTTTGTAGAGAAACTTGGCAGATTTGTATATTTAACATTAGATCATACATTTCATTCAAGTTTATATATAATTGTATTGTTCCAACAAAATATATATTAATAAATTTAATTTCGTGAGTTTACAACTGAAATTGTCTAATGAACTGGAAGATACAGAATCATACTTAACTTTTACAAGTAACCAGTAGGATTGTAGTTTGAAGGTAATGTCTTAACCATTAAAGGTAAAAAGAAATGCAGTAATGTTGTAAAAATATCTTCAGTATTCTACATTATAAAACTATAAATACTTTTTTGATTATTTAATGTAACAAGTAAAGTAACCAATAAACCTAATGGTTCATCCTGCCACTCATTGAAGGACTCCTGTGTCTGCAGTGATGCATATAGATGACTCAACTTTTTAAAAATTGTTTAATATGCTGCTAATTTGTTATGATTGATATATGCCTTGGTTCACTTCATTTTTTGTTCTAATACTAATTTCCAATCAGAGCAATCTATGTATGGACTTAAGAGCAAAGCTAAAAACCAACAAGACAATCAGTATTGCTAATTAAACAGTTGTGTTCCTACTTACATTTAATGTTTAGTTTATATCATAGATGATCAGTGTGTATTGACTGACCTCTTTTTTTTCTAGTTAATTACAGTCTTATAATGAGATTAAATGTGGTTTGATATATTTCGTAATGTACTTAGTAATGGTAGAAATATTAAAAAATTTATAATTAAGGAAATTTGTTTATAATACTTTAAAATTTAATACTTGTTGGGAGGCTAAGTTATATTCTGTCCACTTGCAAGTTTCTGTGGAAAAAAAAATTCTCTTTCATAGTTTCCAAGTTAAAAATCCTGGCTTGATTAACCTATTATATGAACAGAATACATTAAGTAACAAAAACTTGAAAATTTCAGCTCTACATGTAGATGTAACTCATGTTTTCACTTTCTGTTCCTGTAAATTGTTATATAGGAACTGTTGGTCCTATTAAATTTATTCATAAGTTACAAGTACTACCGTATACGAAAGCTACTTTCAACACTTTTTTGGTGGAAAACATTGATGCTTGAAAGATACTACAGTAAACTCAATTTTTGTATTATCAAAACATGGGGTCTAGTCATATCTTTCTTTTCCATAAGTTATTAGATCATACTCCAACTGCCTGAAAGTTTTTTATTAACTTTATGGTGTTCAAAGTAACCCCAAGTGTGGGGCTACTTTGAATAATTCTATAAATCATTGATCAGTCTGGGCTGGTATATGGGGCTATTTGGAAGAGACTTGTGTGTTTCAAAAAATTTAGTAAACCTTCTGAAGCAAAATGAAACACTTAAACTCATAAAATGACTGGTTAACAAGACATAAAAATGTATTATATTATTAAAAACACAGCTCTTCCATATCTAAAACTCTGCAAAATTACCTTCTGTTGATAGGTCTTTCATTTCTTCAGGTATAATTGTGATATCTCTCCAAAAATACAATATTTCATCTTTAACTCTTGGCCATCTCCATTCATGTGCCTTATACTTGGTAAGAATACTTGACAATGGCACCATCTTTTTCTAGGTAACTTACCCCAGTGGCACAGCGGAATGTCTGCAGACTTACAATGCCGGGAAACCGGGTTTTGATGCCCAACTTCTTAAATCCAACCTGCAAGTACTTATCTCAGTGTCATTAGAACACAAGGAAATATACAGTTTTTTAGCAGTGATGTATATACGTCTTTATTCAGTATTTTGGCATTCTTCTTGCCACTTGCTTTCAAGTCATCCATGAGTTTTTTTCAAATACTGTTTCAAGGTCTCTAAAATGCAACATCAAGTGATTTCATCATATCAGTTGCATAAGTGGCAAACAAACAAAGGAGAAATTGTTCTGATCAGCAAGACTCAAAATAGTTTCTGTGAAGTGGCTATGTCTGTCAAAGTGACCAGACATTATAAATGGTGGTATGATATTGTCTCCAACAGCTGTTTTTTTCCCAGGCACACCTTTCACATAGATAGAAACAAACTTTGAAACCAGTCAAATCAGCCACCGACTCCTGTTATATTGGATTCTTTTAAGTCCATATCGTCCCTATGTTTTCTGCTTTATAAAGCATATAACTTATTATCATTTCACCTGCTGCAGATCCAGAATACATCACTGAAATGGATGATTTAGAACTAGCTTTAATTCTTTCTGCATAGTTTAGTCCTCACTTGAAAATGCATTTCTTGACACACAGGGTCATCACATAGGTTTGTTTCATTGTAATTGAAAGTATTCTGTGGGTTCACTTGCTGATTGCCATCCTTCAGTGCCTTTTCTAGTTGTTCAAAGTATTTCCTGGCTTCTTCAGCCCTAATGATCTTTTGATGTTTAGACATGTCCTGCATTCAGTTTCATCTTTATGTCTGTCCATGAAAGACATTGCTCATTTAGGTGATGGGAAGTTGTTGCTTTACAGTACGACCCTGTGCATTTAGATAATTCTTTGCCAGAATTTTTATATCAAAAGTGTCAAATGACAACCCCCAATCTGTCACAATTTTTATATGCTTTAGAAAGAGCTGCTTCAATGAAGACTGTTGAATGTCCTGCTCTTCCCACGATGTGTTTTGTTCTTGTACTTTATGCTGGCTTTTTTAAAGGACATTTTCTTTTTATTTGATCAAGAGCCTTTTTTTTACATCTTCATGTGATGAGAATCAGACCACCATTTGTAGTGTCTCCTCACTTTGACAGATGCAACCTATTTTGCTGGAGATGTATGATTACTGGTACAAATTATGTATGGGGTGACCTGAAATTCAAAAGAACACATCATATTAGGCATCTCTAAACACGTGTCTAGAAATAAGCAATTCAGTTAACTGAACCTCATAGACTATGCTACATAAATTAAACATGAGTTTGGAGTTACTTTGAACACTGTTCAAAATAATGCTAGATATCCTATTTTCTACATCCAATTCACACATATATATTCAACAAGCAGATTCAGTTTTCTCTCTCAGTTTGTGTGTACATAGTATATTTTCTACTTAAAATAAATTTGGTGCCACACATATACTTTCTATCCTAGGATTACCATGAAAATGTGGTTATCATGTTGATGACAACCACATTTGAAAATTTGCTGCTGATCAAATTTCTTTCTCAGAAAGGTGTACACCCTCAGGGTCCACTTAGTATGGGTGCAAAATTTCAGGTTTTTAGGTTCTCCCCTCATGGAGCTGTGTCGGTCACACACAGACATGCTCCTTTATTATTATCTATAGGAATCACAGACAGACATGCATGTGCATCTTTTTAATGAGCCAAGCTAGCAAAAAACCACATAGAAAATAAGTGGTTCCTTATATAACAACTTCTAATATTTAGAAAAGCTAGTGCATTTTGGTAACAATGGCTTTTGTCATGTTGCTTAGCAAGAAAAGTATATAGCTTATACTTTTATGTTAAAATAGATTCAGAATACACACACTAACATAGTCATCTAGAATATATCAACCTAATAACCCAAGTGAGGCTGGTTACTTTTGCTAGTATAAAATATTTATAACTAACATTACATTTCTTTTAATCAGTAGTCTTATAATAGCACTTAACTAAATTCTGTTTCTTAAACATTGTATTGTAGTTAAAATTTAGTTTGGTAATAGAAATTTGTAAAAAATAAAATTCTGTCTAAATTTTAAAATAAAATTGTTTATAGTTATCAATGAATTTATCCAATTGGCACTTTATAACCCACAATAAACTAAACTATTTTTGTGAACTGTATTAATTTTTGTATTAATACAATTATTGCTAGTAATTTTTTTTGCAGTTGGACCACAAAAGATTTATATGTGTTTTAAACTGGATAAAATAAACTAATTTGCATGTTTGTGTTTGTCCAGTCAAATACATTTATATTTAGAATTGATGCTTTGCCTGCTTAAAGCCTATTCCTGAAGCTGTGCTGTGTTGTGTAGTATTTTGTAACAAATGAAGGAGAAAGAAAATGTACCATTAGTCATATCAGTTTGTAATTTTTAATTAAAATCTATGTATATTTACCATAATGTAGGGTGTTTCATTTGTTTTTGAAGCTGTCTTAACTTGTAATATTTTGGCACATTTCTGATTGCTGTTATATGCCATGTTCTTTGGTGACTAATATATAGATTTATCTAAAAATATGATTTTTACAGCTGTAAGTTTTAGCTTGGTGTTTTAAAATCACGTTTTATACTTTATATGGGTCTCCTTTATCAAATTTATATATTGACTTGTTTCTTCTCTAGCTAGACACTATCCAGCAACTCCATGACCTCTGACTTTGGTGACAACAGAGAAGTGACTGTGGAGTTGAACAACACTGTAAGTGTATATTAGCTTTTTATTATATTAGCATTCATCCACATGTAGGTTTTACACCAATGATATCAGGTGTAATACTGGTTTTATTTGGAATACTTAAATGAAGCCAATAATCTCTCAGAACAAATATTATTAAAGTGAAAAATATTTTAAACGAGGGTGAAGTTTAGTAGCTTATTCAAAAAGTACAAAATGTACTACAATAATGAAAACATTAGGTTTACTGAGCAGGATAGTTACTATAAGTAAGAGTTTTAAGGAGATTTGAAACTGTGTATAGAGAGGATATTATGGATAGAACTGTGTATTATGAGAAAAAAAAAAGTGTTAATACTTTACTTTGGATATATATAGATAACAGGTGAATTGAGTTACTTTTTAGGACATTTTGATATATTAATTTGTTTCATATTTTTTTCCATTTTGGTTCACCATACCCTCTCACCTCAGTCACATACTGCTCACTAGGTTCTATCGCTTTTGAGGATGTGGTCTTCTATGACTACACTGGTTCATCACAGTTGTGCCCATATGAGATCCCTTCAGTGGGTGCATCCCGAAAAATTGAACCTTCCTTGGGACTTTTTCCACCCCCATTTCCTTTTCTCCTTCCCTTCAAGACGATCTGCAGTGGTGGCTGGACAAAGTTCATGCATCAGTGGGTGTGATGCTTCCTCCCCCGCATTCAGATCTACATATTTTCATGGACACATCCCTTCAGGGATGGTCGGTGTGGGTCAATCAACAGGACAAAACTGTCTTGCATATCAATGTTCTCGAACTTCTAGCAGTCCCTTGGGCAATGCATCACTTCCTTCTTCATGCCCGTCATTGTCTGGTGATGTTCATTCAGAAAATTCTATGGCGGTGGCCCTTACCATGTTTTGGATGTTGGATCTATTATACTGGGCCCACGCTCATCACATTTGCCTTAAAGCATGTTATGTGCTGGGTGCTTTCAATCTAGTCGTGGATCATCTTTTGTGCCCAGGTCAAATATATCCATGGAGGGGCCATTAGATCCACTTGTTTTCAGGGAACTTTGCCATTGGTGGGATTCTCCCCACTTGGATGCCTTTACCACTGGCCTCAATACCAAGTTGCCCCTCTTTTGGTCACCTGTGCTGCATCCTCAGGCTTTGGCAGTCTGTGCCTTCAGCCAGGATTGTTCACAATATTTTTGTGTAACCTCCCATCCGATTGCTTCAACGGGGGATTTCTCCTGTTTGCTCCCTATTGGCCAGCTCAACCTTGATTTTCAAGGTTACAACATTTGCTCCTATCACCACCTGTCCCTCACTTCTTCATCAGTCAACCTCGATCCCACATTCTACACCCTGCGTCTTCATGCCTGGTTTTTGTCTGGTCCTTGGCAAGACGATCCAGTTTCACATGTTGAGTTGCTTCCTTGCTAGCTAGTTCTATATGCCCATCTTCTACAGAAGTATACCAATGCAAGGGGGAAGTCTTCTGCTGTTGGTCTGCTAACAGGGGATTTCCTTGTGTGGCGGAATTTCTCACCAGGCTCTTCGACCATGGGTCTTCGGTCTCCTTACTCTATGGATATCAGGTGGCTCTATCTCATACCTTCCGTTTTTCCCTCATACTGTCAGGTTTTTACTTCCCCTGTTCTTTCCATGCTCGTGCATTCCTTCTGGATATGTCGACGTCCCAGGCATCCTGCCCTCCCGGTTTGGGGCATTTATGTGGTCCCCCATGCCCTTACTTTCCTCACGTTCCTTGTTTTATCTGTCCATTAAAACATGTATCCTTCTTCTCTTAGCCTGTGGACGTCGACAGTCTGATTTGTTTGCCATTGACATTTCACAAACCCTTTATCACCCTACCTATCTTCTCCTTTATCCTGATCGTTCCTTTCTCCCTAAGACCCCGGTGGCTTGGGAGGGTTGTTCATCCTTTTTTTCTATTTTCCTTCCTTTTATATCCCATCTTTACCCTCAACTGAATCCGGATAGGCTTCTTTGTCTGGTCAGGGTCCTTTGTTGTTATGTAGCACGTACTGCTACCTTTCAGGGTATGTGCAACTGCCTTTTTATCCAATGGTAATCCTCCTCCCTTTCACCTTCTACCCTTACTAATTGGGTCCACCTTTTGGTTTGTTTGGCCCAAACTTCCCTACCTTCTTCCTCCCTTACCTTGTTCCAGGTTTCCTCCCACCAGATCCTACATCTCACTTTTTTTCCCCTGCTTCTCGTCTGATGGAGGAGATTCTACAGTCCAGCATGTGGATCACTCTCAGTATGTTCATCTCTCACTATCTTCATCATGTTGCACTTTCCTCTTTGTCGGGATTTCATCTACCACCTGTGGCTGTTTGCCAGACTTTAGTGCAACTTTAACTGGTAAGTTTTATTCATTTTTTTTTCAGGGGCCTTTATCTCCCTTTTTATCACATGGATCCCGCTCTGTGGCAAGTGGTGCCTGATCAGGTATTCTTCAACTATAAATCTGCACTGCACAGCCATGTTGACTCCCACTTTATTTTCCATGGGTTTGCTTGCTCACTGTTGAGATGGAGTGTTTCACAAGATCGCTTGACAGTGAATAAACTTGCAATATTTTGCTTCATAAACAAGCCCATCCCAGACTGTACCACCCATGGATTACATGGGTGAAGAAGTAGGGAATTACTGTCCATCCCTGCCATGCTTCGAGAAAATACCTCAGGATAGTCTGCTTTTCAAGTTAATGTTTCGTGGTCACCTATTGCACTGTCTTTGGTGATGACGTTTCTCCGGACTCTCCACCGCAATATCACCCTCCTTTCCTCGATTGGAGTATGGGAGTCCTTACCACTTTCTAATTCCAAGCCATTGGGGTGGTTGATCATGGAGGCACCCTCCTAAATGAGTTCCACAAAGAAAGGGCTAGAACCATTCAGTTGAGAGTAGGGTGGTGTTTTTCTGCTGGTGTAGATGAGACGTGGTCTCCTAAGGAGTTGAGCCATCACCTTGCTAGATGACATGGCCTCCTGATAACATTTACACAACAGCTGGAGTTGAGGCATCTCCTTCCTAGAAGATGTGGGTTCCTGATACCATTTGCACAACCACTGGGGATGAGCTATCACCTTCTTGGTTGTCGTGGTCTCCTGATACCATTTATATAAGCACTGAAGTTGAGCTGTCGAAGCTGCATTTCACCCCTTCGATTGGAAGACCTCATCCTACCCTTGTGTGGATGTCAGGAACCCCACGAAGAAATTATGGATTAGAGTGAACCAATCACCATAATTCCTCACACAAGTTCGGATTGTCTATCTTACTCCCCCAATTACTCCACCTGTGTTGTGGGTCACAGCGGTGGTACGTGAGATTGTTACGATTTTATCCTTTACTATCCCTTGTTCTCTTCTTACTGGGATGTTATTGTCTTTAGATGGTACTGGCCTGTGCCATGGTTGGGGAAGTTGATTCCATGCGATAGACATCCTTTCAATACCGGATGTCAATTCCTGGATTGATAGATCAGAGATGATCCTTGTCATATCCAGAATTCTGTGAGGGTCTTAATCCCTGATTCTAGTGTTTGAGGTGAAGATGGTATGATCCTTATCCTACCCTTGCATGGATGTCAGTACCCTGCGAGGGGGTTTCGGATGTACTTGACTTACCGAGTACAGTCTGCCAAACCCTAGCCATTCTACACCTTTCAGTTTCTGCTCTTATATCTTGCACATTCCACACATAGGTGAAGAGTCTATCTGGGTTAGAAGTGGTGCAGTTCCCGCTCTTTTGATCTTTGGATCAATATCTCTTACTGTAAGGGGGTATCCTTCAGATACTTTCGGGGGTAATTATTTTGTTCCTTTGCACCAGTCCCTCCTACTCAATATGGGATTCTAGGTAATCTTGTGAGAGGAGGTAAGTACCGTATTGGAAGTTATAATTTTTCTACACTGAAAATGTATTTCCGATAGGTACTTACCTCCCATCACACTTCCCACTCTTCCTCCCCACGTCTCCGGTTCAGTAGAGGAGCGTAGGGGGAGTCATATGCGTCACGTGAGCATATCATGCTACTATTGGATAAGAGATAATGCATGACGATTTACACGAGACATATGTTGGAAAAAGTTTGTATATAGAGGGCAGCACTGAACAAGAATAGCTAATCTTGTGAGGGAGGTAAGTACCTATTATTAAAAAATCAGATTTTTTGTATACAAAAGACTTGTAATCTTTACTAAAAGTACATCAAATTTTGTGAAGATACACATACTGCATTATAAGTTAAAAGTTTGTATGCAGATGGATAAACTTGTTCTTTATTACATTAAAATGTTTCTGAATTTGCAGTTTTTGTACAGTTATATATAAAAAAAAACATTTCCACTTGTTCTTCATGGATTTTGAACTTACTTCAGGGAAAATCAAATTTCTGCAGTTTAATAATGCCATATAGAGGAAGAAAAGTTTGAATACAAGTAATTCAAGTCACTGTTAATAGCACTCTAAGTATTGAATAGTAAAAAATGAATGAAAAACTAAATACTGGTTATGAAATTACAGCATAAAGTTACAAAGAGTGTCATGGATATTATTCGTTGAACACTGCTGTTGGTTTCAACTATACTTTGCTGGTGGAGCAGTGTGTGTAATTTTAGATTATTAACCAAATATGCAAGAGGTCAGTTTATTGGACCAACCACATATTGGAGAAAGAATGTTGACTATAATCTCAAATCTACTGTGTATATCTACATGAAATATGGCAAGCTTTGAGTAAAATGTACAAGCTTGTTGTACACACAAAATCAGATGTGTTTCAAAAGTATTTATACTCAAGATGTGTCTTTGAATTGATGACATCTGTTTGACTAAGACTTTTAAGTCAAAGTGCAAGGTGATGTTCATGTGAAGAATAAAAAGTACTTTTGTACACTTTGCATTACATAACCTCTAGAACCTCTGAAATACATCTACAGATTTTTGTTCAGTATTTCTCTCCTCTACCATGAACTGTCACTAAGTTAGCAGTATACTGTAAAGTGACACTTTGATATCAAATATACATAATACCTTACTGAATGTCACACCTATGCATGTAGGACTAACTTGGTTCATTATTATTCTTACAGGCTAAACCTGATGATCCCAGCCTAAACCCTCATGCAGAAATATTTTCTAGCAAAACATTAGAAACCAACTCTGTGAATTCCTCTACAGCCCAAGGATTTGGTAATGGAAATTGTGAAGGTAAGGAAAGCTCATGATGGACTTGTTTTCTTTTTATTGAGAGCTTAGTGATTTGAAGAAATAGAAAAAAGTTAAAAGATAATGTACAATCCAGCAGAGTTTTTATTCGTATATTTGTTGTCGCATCTCTTTTTCCCCAATAAGATGTTTTTTAATCTAATGATGGTACTTTTGAGTCTGGGGCTGTGTGTGTGATTTTCAATTATGTGTTGTTTTTTAACGGTTACTAGCAGGTAGAATATCTAAGTAAAGAGAGTATGTTATAGTTTCTTGTTAGGCTCCATGCAAAACTGAAATATAAGTCCACCAAATGAAATTTTGGAAGTACATGTAATTATTAATCTTCATTGCACAGATATAAAATAACTAACTCGCATATCAATTCAAAAATATTTGAATTATACAGTAATAAACAAACTTTTAATTTCCATTACATGAATGTAGATTCTACAGATAAAAACTATCAATATAGTAAAGTGTTGCTTGTAGATAATTTCTAAATATACAGCTTTTGACATGTCATTTTCTCTAGAAATAATTTAAAACCCAGTAAAACACCCTTGACTAAAAGTGCCCCTTAGTTTTTGATTTTTATTTTGGAAATCGCTGTGGCATTGGTGAATGTAGTACCCAAAGGCATGCATACATTTACAAACAGCTCTTGCAATTTTTTTCACACATAATTTCAACAACTTTAAGAGCAGTTACTAATTCTTGAACAACTTCTCAAAAATCTGAAGCTTCACATAAATCCACGTTGTCTCTACCACAAGAATCTGCCTTGAAGCAGAAGTTAAAGAGTTTTGCAACATTTAAGTATATCATTATTTTCCCACATCCCTCAAATGTCTAATATTGTAAAAAGATTGGTATAAAAGTTGAAATAAATTCTCAATTTTAAGCAAGAAATAGTCTTCTTAGTCTACTATTGGACCAGATATTCCTTCTTGTAATAAATTTTGGGCCTTTTTTTATGTAACTGATTGATTTGAAAGAAAGGTTTTAGATTCATTTCTTTCGGTGATATTAAGGTTGATGTAAATCAACTGTTATGGTATTCTTTTAGGATTGTGACTTGCTGTTCCATATGAAGATCTGAGAGCAAAAAGCTTGTTTATGATGCTTCTTAGAGTTAACAGCACCTATGTAAATTGAACAAACAAAAGAAAAACAATGGTCTCTTGTTCTTCTGTGGAAAACCTTATTTTCCAGAAAGTAGTACATTGTAACATGTAGTTTCAAACAGCACCTGCTCTGAGACATGTCTCTTCAGGGCATATTGACTGTAAGTTGCTTTTAAGAATAATGTCTTTCTCATGGCTACTCTATCTTAAGAAACAAGTCCAATATACAAATACGGTTTAAAATACATCTTTGATAGACGTGATACTACTGTCAACCTTGGTTATTTGACAAGTACTCACAATATGTATAGTTTAAATGCTTTATGGGACATAAATCTGTGTAAATAGTGTTTTATTTTCATGTAATCGTTTTCCTAGTAACATACAGTATTAAAAATATCTAGAGATACTGTGAGAAATAAAATAGAAAAATACTACTAGAACTCTGTTCCCCTTTGTTGTGTGAAAATGAACTGCACTAGAGTAGTCACATGTTAATTGTTAATACTGTGATGGGTTCCCATCCAACCAGTCAAAATGCCACACCAGTACCAGTTTAAAAGTGTATAAAAGTATTGGACAGCAGTATGATTCAGTCATAGCTTCCAGGACTGAAACACCACACAACAAACTTATAACAATGAAAGTTTTGGCTGGTCAAAGATACTCTGTGTGAAAAATTGCAGCAAGATTCTATAATTCAGAAAGAACTGTATGTAAGTCCATGAAGAGGATACATAAAACTGGCACTGTTAATAATAAAAGTGGTAAAGGTAGAGAACTGAAACCTCTCAAAAGCTGATGAAGTGTCTCAGGGTATGTTTTTTTATTAGGTTAACTATGGTTAAGTTCAGGTCGTGCTAATGACCTTGTTATAAATACAGGTCTAAATGTTACCTTGAGAATGGGCAAAGTTCGGTTCATGCTAAAGACCTTGCTATAAATACAGGTTTAAATGTTACCTTGAGAACGGGGTGATACACAATAACATGAAGTGGTCTCAATGAATATGTAGCTGCTCAAAAACTACTGCTGAGGAGAGGTAACCAAACCATAAGGTTGAAATGGGCAAGTTTGTGATGCTGTCACAGGAAATTAATTGTATTAAAGCAAAAGTTAAAGTTTTGCAACCTTTAAGGAAAGAGTGAAATTAACAAAACTTGAAATGTGCTCTTACAAATGAATTCAAGTTTAAATTGTTGAAAATGATCATGGCAGTTTGTTCAACAATGGAGAGGAGAATCGTATTATAGTCAATCTACAGTGAAATATGATAGATGATCAGTACAAGTTTGTGGCTGTAACTCATCCAATGGTGCCAGTGAACTACACAAAATTGATGGCACTCTAATTGCTGGCAATGACAGCAGATTCTGTTCCATCAAGTTTGTCCCTCAGGAATACAACTTATTGAACAGGGATTCATCTTCTAGCGAGACAATGATCCAAGTATACAGCATATTTGCTAAAATGATATCTTGACATAAAGAGCTTGATGGAACACAATTGGCTCTTACAGAGTCCCAGCACAAACATTCTTGAAGCTGTATGGGCTTTGTAAAAGCTGGGAAAGGCAAAAGGTGCCCAAATAATGAATAATGATCCATGTAAAACAAAATGCTCACATACAAAATATTACTACATTGTATAACTTACTCACTTTTAGAAAATACTGGTACTCAGTGTTATAGAGTCTGATTTTAAAACAAGTATTTCTCCTTTCTGCCAAGAAAAGTAGGGTATGTTTTCAAAAACTGTATATTGAATGAAAAAAAGTGTATATTATAATTGTATGATTGTTCTGTATAAACCTTTAATATAATTTACAAATTGTGTTTAAATGTGTATGTTATTGTTTAGTTGTGTATCTTACTCTATCTCTTTCATATGGTGAAAATAATATTTAAATAATTGATTTACAAAACATATTAACTATACTATCATTAAAGTTAGCATATAATGTGTTAGAAGACCAGTATGTCCGTTTTTAGGTACTAGAATGTAGCAGGGTTACTGTGATATTATAAATTACCTAGTTTTGAAATTTAATCTTACACTGTTGTTTTAATTATTTACATAGTTTTATAGTTATTAATATTATTTTATTGTGAATAACTTTTATGTGACATTTACATTTGATTCAAAATAACAGCGCTGTCATCACTTATATATAGAAAGGAATGTTGAGTTAATCTTTTACTTTACAATCATCAAGGCATTGAACCAACAGGAAGTTATAGGTTATATGAAGAATTTTCTACAAAATTTGTTTCCTTAACTTGGGAAATGAATCGGTGTTCAGTGTGTAATGTGTGTGTGTGCATAATTAAAGGAAGATGGTTGGTGTGCTGAAACTGGTTTTTTTGTTTTAGTGCAAAAGCTGAAAAATGGGCTGTGTGCACTATGTCTGCCACAGGGATTGGACCTCGAATTCTAGTTTTATAGCCCTGAAGCTTATTGCAGAGCCACTAGGGGAGTGTGGAGACTTGTGAGTTGTGTAACCGTGCCACTTCCTAACTAACATGTGCTCAAATCTGCTTCATTGTTTTATACATTTCCATTACTTTTATGCACTTGGTTCATGTTTGTTTTTCTTCATAATAAACAAAAATCATAATGTGTCCAAATACATTACCTATTTGAATTTGTAACAATTATTCTTATTGGTTGTATTGATGATTTCACGATATATTTTTTCACCTATTTCTTGCCAAGTATATTGGATATTGAACTAATCCAAATAAATAATGATAACAGCCAATTATTTTTCAAACATGGATTTCCTAAAAAAATCCTCCAAGTATCAGAGCTTCATATTTTGTATGTTGACTTAGATGGAAACTGTAAGAGATCTGCATGTCAGTTTAGTTCATGAAACTAGTGCATTAATTGTTAATAACCAGCTATTTTGTTTTCTATGTAACAACCTCAGTAACTTTACTAATACATGCACACACACACACACACACAGATATATATACATATAAAGTAACTGGAATAAGATTTATTTTTTTTTATTATTGTATTTAAACAAGTACTCCTTGCACCTGTGAATCTAAAACATTAATCAAAGAATTATCATAATTAGATGTACACACGAACAAAGGAATGTAATTCAAGTAACAGTCATCTTTATCACTGTCTGAACCACAAAAATTGTAATAAAACCAATATATTTTTATGCATGTATCAGTATAGATTTTAGTAGGAAATGGACCTGGATGATTATGGATATTTAGTAATTAATTAGTGAATGTTCACTACAAAGTAGAAAAAAAAAGGCTAAAAATATTTTGCCACAAACTTGTTTTAAAGGTAATCTGGACATTTCCTACTTGGTAAATGAACCTCTTATGTCAACTAAATACCACCATGTGGATGGCATTATGTTTGATTTTGAAATATGCGGTAATCCCACATTAATCTTTTGTAAGTCAAATTGATAATTGAATAATGAAAACATGTTTTACTATCACTGATAAGGGGTCCCTTGGTGGGGCAGCGATAAGTTTATGGACTTACAACTCTAAAATCCAAGGGTTGATTCCCCACAGTGGACACAGCAGATAGCCCCTTGTGGCTTTGCTCTAAACAAAAATAACACTAATAAGGGTAATAATGGTTTTATTTAAAACCTATCATGATTGCAAGTAGAAATAATTAAGTAGAAACTTAGTTTATTTACATGCGTTGTTTAAATAGGATAAACATAAAAATGGTATTCAATAAAGATATTTGTCATCAGAATATTGTGCAATCAAAATAATTGGCCCCCCAGTGGCTCAGAAACAAATCTAAAAGGCTTATAATGCTAAAAACTGGATCTCAGTACCTGTGATTGGCACAGCACAGATAGCCTGTTGTGTAGCTTTGTGA